TTTTTTTTTTTTTTTGATAAATCATTCCCGACGGATTTCCAGCAATGCCGGTCCGTGAGGGATCGTCGCGATTTTTCATTAGACCGTCATAAAATCGGTCGAAGGCGGACGAGTGCCACGACGGAAGCGGCGCGATGTATGGCCACTGATTATCCTGCAACTCGTACATCCGAGTTTTCATTGCGCATCGCGTATCGCGAGGCAGCTATCGACGCACGAAACTGCATGATTCGATGCAGCATGATCGATCAACGACTTCCGTCCCGCTTTACTGCCCGCTGTATTTTACGATCGCGTTTATTGTCGACGCGCTAAGACGGCAAACTTCGAATAGGATAGCAGGAGAGATGGAAACTCGACGAGGATCGCGTCACCGAACGGTGCCATTTTTGACGTCCCGATGCGTCTCGTCGACGTTCGAATTCTTCGTCGTCTCGGCCATCGACGGGGTATCGTTTCGCGATTTCCATCGACGGGAACAAAAGCTTCGCGGCACATTCGTTTCGTCCTGGCATTTCGCGAAAACGTGCAATTTCGGAGCGGGCACGGACGAAGCGTTAACTGGCTGCTCTTTGTCAGCGACAAATTACGGAACATCGTTCACGATACGCGGTTCAGTTCCGGAGATCGTTATTTTTTCCATCTCGCCGTTGCGATTCCCGCGTTTAATTTACTGCGCGCGATAAGGATATTGGACGATATCGGATCTATGGAGGTGTTCGTCTAATGTTGGAAAGGTACCATTTCGCTCGATGTATTTGCCACTCGACGTTACGCGTGGAGGCGTGACTACTGTCAGGCGTGAAAAACACTCTTGCGCCCAAGTGTCCGTTACTTGTCTCCACTATCTCCGCGTTTTGTAAAAATTAATGGACGGGATTGTAACGACCGAGTCGTAACATTTCTCCACGCGTGTATTTTTAGAGATATATCGTTCTCTGATAAATTCAAGATGCCAGGCTGTTCGGAAATTAAACTTTCCAAGCCGTGTTTCGCGGTATCGAGCGATACGCTGGGCCCCGTGATCTCTTGGCGCGATCCTGGGCAAAGGTCAACGATTTTATCGAGCTCCATTTCCCAACGAACTTGAAAACGTTTAACGAAATACAGGCATACAGCTATCGAGCAACATCTCGTCGCTCGAGCTTGCAGATTTATTCCCGGACAAGCCAGTCAGCGCCGCGTACTCGCGCCCGGCTACCACGCAACTTTTCCACTCGATTTCTGGGATGCATTCGATATTTATCTTTTCGAGAAACTTGCAACCTCGTCCTCGAGGATTATTAGAAACGGCCAGGCGCAGATCCTCGGCAGAAAGCCGAGTTTTAAACTTTCCCCGGGTGGAAAGTTCCACGAGCGTAAACGGTCCCATTTGTATCGCGATCCTTGTCGCGACGTATCGAGATCTTCGAGTCGGGAGCAAACAGATCGATGAAAAACATCCGTCGATATCGCGGAAGGGAAAGCTACGAATGGAACAACGCTTGTTCCTCGATGGTTCGAGTTAAACACCACTTTTCTTCCAACGATTTTTTCCCGTCCACGAGCATACTCGTTTCCCGTTTCACCGGTAATCACCTAGCCCTCTCTGACACTTCCCTACGACCCATTCAGGCAGTTGGGTGTAAGATTATTAATGCCCGTGAGGTCTGCTCGGCGGTGGACTCGAAGACGGCTGGTGGCAGCTTAGGCTACTCTCCGGTATGAGTACCGTCTGATAAAGGGGCTCACAGACAAGATGGATGAAACGAGATAAGGTCGGCTGAACTAAACAGAACGAGCCGAGAGAAAAAGAGAAAGACGCTGAACCGTGATAGAAAGAATGATCCTTTTTCGGAGCAGAGGAAATGTTCGCGCTCGCAACGAGACCGGGGTCGATGATTTAATTAAAAATAAGGCAGCTCGTTAAATTAACAGCGGTGACCTTATAAGAGAGCCCCGTAGATCCCGGATAGCCGGAGGTTGATCTCCTTTGATTAAGCTACGAGAGCGAGACGCGTGTTACGTCTTGGCGAAATGCGACGAGATTCCACGTCGGGCCTGGCCGTTTATCTTTTGTATAAAACGACCGTGAATCCCGAGCAGTTCGCGAGTCCAAAGTACCCTCCTCTCTCGAGGCTTGCCAAAACTCGCACTCGTAAAACTGCGCTGTTTAATAAGAGAAGGATTTCGTCCACGCTCGTCCACCGAATTTCCGCGAAAAGAATTACTCTCCGTTGTCTGCGCCGCGTCTCTCCTGATCGTCCGACTGTCACAGGGTCGCACGAAGCGACGTAATTATCCGAGACTTCCTCGCGGGAAACGTCATTTCTATAGGGAGGCTGGTACCATACATTCCCCCTTTCGAACAATAAATTTACGTCCATGGTTCGAAATTAAGTCCCTAATACCCGTCTTACGATGAGGGAAAAAATAAGAATGGCCTTACCCGTGTCTCCGGTTTTCTCCCTCGCTCTGGGGCGTCCGTTTCACAGAGGTCGTGCTGGTGTTCGTTTTGTCCTTCCACTCTTGCTGCCGGTGGTCCCGTCTACGGGCCACTCCGTGCCACTCGCTATATGGATAAGAGGCTTACCGACCGAGGATAATCGGACCGCGTTCAATTTTCTATTAGACCCGCCTCGAACGCCGCCATGCTGGCGAATCGAAAACCACATTCGGTTCCTTTTCTCGGGAAATCACCGCGCCACGACCCTAGCACAGGGTCCCGTACGCTCCACTTTCGAACCGGCGGGCCGGAATTGGATTTCAGAGGGATACAAGCGAAGAAGTGCATCTTCAGCGCGGTGTATCCGGCGGAGGAGACCGGTTAAGCGGCGCTTAACCCAATTACCGTCGGAAATTTCAGGTAATTCCATTTTTTCCTCGGCCGAACGACGGTTTCGAGGCGCGACTTCCCTTGCCACGTTAGCCCCTTACGGTTTAACTTCCGGTGGGGTGCGCACACAAACACACGGTCACGCGCGAGCTACTTCGACCGAACACGGCGAAGAATAACGCGCAACTGGCGAGTCGAGACTCGTGTCGACAGAAAAATATGGACGGAAATTAACCAGGAGCCTGACCCGCGTTGTTTACGTTGGACTCTAGCCGCCACGTCTCTCGCCCGTGATACTCGCGTTTGACCCGATTTCCTTACGAGTGTCGCGCGATATCGCAGGCAACGGGGTTAACGAGTTGCTCGGCGCGAAACGACGCGAATATCGTTGATGATTGCGCAACGTGTCCAATTGTAATCGGCGATAATTCGGAACTAAAGGCTCGATCCAATTAACATTTCCGATCGAGGTGAACGGACGGGCCGAGTTGATTTTCGCTAATCCGATGCGCCGTTTGGACTTTGCAATCGGATGGTGCAGCCGTCATAACGCGCAAACCCAATTTCGTGGATGGAAAGCGGAGGAGTGGGGGTCGGGGCACGCGCGGCCGTGAGCCACGCGAAAGATCAATCGTAAAATTTGCAAGTGAAATGAATGTAAGAGCATGCATGGGAAACGTATTTTAAAGGCACGCCAGCGAGTTTCATTTTTAACACCTCGTTCCACTCTGCCATCCTTCCTCTCGGTCATCCGCTCCGCTTCTGCTCCGCGTTATTTAACGCGTTTTTACGTTCGCTGCGCGATCAAAACGCGCTAGAAGCGTTAAGACGACGCCGAGTTATCACCGTGATCGGTTCCGCGTCATTTCCGTTTCCGGCCACCGCGGCCGGTCTAATTAACGCGGTTAAACGCGAAAAAATAAGTTAATGTACACATGAATCGTTAATCTCGCGGAATTCTGCTCGCGCGATGTTCGCGACGTGACGGGAAAGTTAAATAAGACCGTGATTGTCTTTGACTCCGGCTTGAATTAACAGACGGGAAGCTCGAATACAAACCAGCCGGAAAATATACTTTCGCCCAGGTGTATGGAAAGTTTCGCGGAGTTCGAATGAAGAACCGGTCGCGACGAGGTAAAACTTCCACATCCAAATTGCGTGTCGGCGGGGACGTGCTAATGTTGTTCTTTCGTCTATAAATTGCGCCACCGAGCTACGCGTGTACTCAAACTTGTCGAAACAAAGACCCTAACGAGACTTCCAACCCTATACCGACGATCCTTCGCGTCTATAACCGTCGAAATACGCGAATTATAATTACCGAGACAGCACTGTATCGAGAAAAGAAGATCGTGGAATGGATCAAGACTCCGAGGCTGTACAGTTTCCAAGCAAGCTCCTGCAACGTGAACGATAGGAACAAACATCGTAGAATATTCCGACGAGCAAACCTCGATAGTCGACGCATGTGCTCCGCAGGACAGCGTAACTCCTGATTTCGCAAGTTACATGCCAAACAGGAAATACGGTAGACCAATTTCATTTGGGGCCGAGATGAAAATAGCGTGGCTGAAGGACGGCAGGATAACAGAGGCACGTTAGAGGACGCCGTTAATATTATACCCGTGTCGCGTGTCACGTTATCGGGCAGCGTATATGTTATCGTAATAATGTCGGCCAGGTTAGAATGCTTTGTCGAGTGTTATATGGGTAACTGTACACCGCAATATTGATATCGCATCATTTCGCAGCGCCGAGACGCGTTCAAAGGCTGGGCGGGATTTGTAATGCATGGAATGGGCCGGTAGCCCATACTCCAGATCTCCTTCGATGAAATTCAATTCTCGTTAACTTACCATGTTGCAATCCAAACGAAATTCAACCGTCGGATAAACGCGACCGGGGCCTCTCACCAGTCAAGCTGAAACCTGCTGCATTTCGCGAAACTTCTTCTCTCCTGATACACCTCGTGATAAATATCCTGCCGATGATCCATTTCCCTGCAAGATTTTCTCCTCTCGCCTTCGCCTTTTGTCGTTTCGTCGAAATCCGTAACGAGGTGCAACATTGTCTTGCAATTTCGGTGACCTTTGGTGACACAGAGTGACCTTGCATCGCGCGTCATCGCGAGCCGATGAAACTTGGCTCGAAAGATTTTTCCTTTTCACTCGCCGCATCCGTCTCGAGATATTTCAATTTAAATTCAAAGGAAAGTTCAATTTGAATTTTAAAATTTAGATCGCACGCTGTAGCGGTTCTGCCAAATCGTTTTTCCAGCGATCACGAAAATGCTCGGCGCTGCTGTTGAGGGAAAACTTGTTACAGCGCAAAAAGTGGGTATAATCTGTTCCGGTGCAATCAGTGCTGATTGATGATCCTGGAGAAAACAGAATGGGAAAAACGTAATCCAACAAATACGTCATTATTTCCTAGTCGGCGGTCGAACAAAAAAGTAGCTTCAATCTTCTAATTAGCATCGCTTGTACAAAAGCATTTCGAATCAAAGTGCTTTATACAATGGCAGGGGTACACCCTATTTCGAGTCCCGTGTATACAGAGGCATAATTTTAACGTCGTGTCACGTCTTTTAATTAACGCGAGTCATACACAGCGTTTCAGACGTGGGAGCGTTCGCGCAGCAACAAAGAATATGGTTTAAACGCGAAAAAAGGTCCGCGTGTTGTTTTTCCTGGGAAATGTAATTTATTAAAGAATGCCTGCTCTTTCAGAAACATTACATATCGTGCTGTTAAATTTCAAACTCCCAAGAACGAACCATTAAGTTTAGCAGCGTTTTAATTTTCGGCGAAACGAGATTAACAATTGGAATATAAATGTTAGCTTTTAAATATTCGTCCCGTTTTTTGCGGCGAAACTCGCGAAAGCCCGTGCAGCTCGTGAAAATGGTTAATTTTCCCGGCGTAAAACAAGTTTATTTAACTGCGCGCCCCAATTATTCTTCGACGCAAACACCAACTCTTATTTCTTTATAGAAACTCTGATACAACAATTTTCATCCACGCTTTAACAGTGAAACACATCGCGCTTATTTCCATATTCCTCTCGATTATCGAAGTGCTCTGTCCGCATTCTGATGGAAATTGAAATATTGATTCACTGAACATTTAGCGCAATAGTTTAATTGTACAAAGCATTACCGTCCCCATAGAATTATCATTTAATATCATTATCCGATAGAGAGGTGAGTAAATAAATCATCTCTCAGTGGAAATTATAATTACGACCCATGTCATTAAAATCATTCATTTGTTAAGCACGAAATTTCGCGTATGATCTTTACGCCATACCGACGATAGCGATGAATTTTCCTAAAGTGCTTTCGAATGTATCTCGTTTAAACATTTCCAGTCTTGCATTAAATTCGATCGGTTTGTTCACCTTTCGCTAAAATTCGTTAAATTATGCTTCATCCTACCTTCCGAAAATTTATTTCGTCGCGAACAAACGTATCGAGGAAAAGAATTCAAATTTCGTTGCTTTATATTTATATAGAATATAAACTAACCATTATTTGCGATAAATCTCTTTCACGATGCGACAGAAATTGTTACAACTTGGTTCAGAATTATGACACGTGAAATCGTGATGACATTTGTTAAACATTTATGATCGCAAAAGGTATCAACTATATTAATTTGATATGAAAATTGTAATACCTGATCGAAGGACAACGAATTTACTACTCGATTCGATGCAAATTAACAAAATACATGCATGGGTATAAAATGAGATTAAGCTCTCATCGTATCAAATAAAATTATTTGTAAAAGTCTAGGATTTAAATATTTCAAATGAACAAAATGGTGTACATACGTCAAATAAAGTTGGACACGATATGGAGTAGCTAGTTTACTCGTTTTCCAGCTTGTTGTCTAGCCTAGAGTGCCTGGTTTCTTCTAGTTCAACAAACTGAAACCATCGCAAACAATGAACAGGAAGTGCCTAGGGCTGACATCCAAACTTCAGTCAGTACTCGATGTTTGAATCGCGTACAGTTTGTACTAGGTCAGAAGCGTTTGATTTGAAAAGTATATTTCAGTAAATACCTTTATATTTTGAATGTATCTCGTATAGTGAGCGCTCGAAATTGAAAATCTCAACCAACACCGAGGGTATAATTCTGACATTAACCTAAAATCTGCCATAACCTATAAATCTCAAGTGGATCGAAAATATTCAAAAACCCGATAGACATCGGTGAACCAATGTCCTGATGCACTGTACCAACTAACCTCAAAAATTATCCAACACGTTCCACTCCAATTTTATGCAATATTCAGCCACTAACATCCAACTTGGGACCACTCTTATATGCCGTTAAAATCGGCTTATCTGTAATAAAGTAAGTTTAAAGTAAGGTATTCCCGATATGCATGTGCATTTCCTTCAAAAATTTCGTACTCCAAGATTCGATTTTTAAGAAAATTAGGTTAATACACAACAGATGTTGCAAATAACAGGAAATCATCAATATTGTATCAGAAACTGTTGTAATTTCTCAAATAAAATTGCCGCGTTTATTAAAAATGCATAGGAAACTATCTGTATACGATTGTATAGCAACGAAATATGTGTAGTTTATTATTAGCGAAAGATACAAATACACTTAAGCAGATATAAAAGAATGTACGTGACCTCATAGGTTACAACAGTGCCCTCTATACTGTACCGCGTTTAAGGCTGAGCCTTTCCAGAAAACAAAGGATTGTTATAACCCAAAAACCGAAGCACGACCTTTTGACAGCAGCCCAGTAGGGAAGGTGCCCAAAAAATCACTATTGGCCTGCAACATACTTTTATTTTTGCGAAGCTATTCTTTAGGAGACGTTTTCCAGAGTTTATTCCAAGTATAGTCAATTTTATAAAGAGTCCTAAATAGTAAATTACGAATTTCCAAAGAACACTTATCATAAATAGAGAAAGCAAATAATTTTTTATTCCCTGCTACCTTTTATTATGACAATATTAATCAATAAATCAATAAATCAATAAATCAATGTAAATGTAATGTAGCTCTTATAAGTAAATACGTGTCCCAGTGAAACGTTGAACGTGTATATAAAGACGCTAAGGTAGGTTAGGTAAGACTCCGCAACAGCTGACTACGGTACTGCGAGGGTTAAATCGTTATAAGATTTCTACGACCTAGGTAATGAAAATACAGAAAGGCAAGTAGACTTGTAGATGTGACATAACTCCACTATAGTCACGAATAACTGTATCTCATGGAAATACTAAAAAATATTTTAGGTAGCCACAAAAATTTGTATGGAAAATGATCCTGGAGTAACATGTAACTTACCTGAACCCCTGATAATGATTTCAATAAGCAGAAAAATAAAGACTGGTAATATTTCACTTTACTGCATAAGTTTTAATAACAAAGTCTTATTTTAACATGCTAATAGTACACTTGGATTTAAATTGAAGAATGTCAATGTTCACAATATGGATGATTGAAATATTTACGTAAATGTATACAATGGTATATATATATATATTTTGCAACACGGATCGGTAGCATAACTTGAATCTGAATGTTTAAAAAATATTTTATTTAAAAGTCTTATATTACTATATGACATGAACTATAATCTCAGTTGCTATTAAAATCACCTTTGATTCATGCAAAGTTCATCACAAGTCTTAGAAATATGTAGACAATAAATTCTGAGTGAATAATCGCAGTATGTTATATTTTTGGGTAATACAGGATTTTATTCCACATTATTAAGGTAAGTGCTTCAACATAATAATTTCTATTCATAAGTTAACACATATAACTGTTTCTTTCCTTACACCCATATATGTAATACAGCACATTTATTAAAAAGATAACTGTTTCTATATATCTAATTAATGAATAGGATGCGTTAAAACAAATGGATCGATAAAACAGTATTAGATAATATGAACAAATAGATCTTATAAAGTGAATAGCAAGCCTAATATAAAGTTTAATAAACATATACTATTATCATTATTCATATTTTTTAGACCACACGGAATGTTTCTATAACACTCGTAGCATAATTAAATCGTTCCCAGTGACAATTTTAATGAACAACCGTAACAAATATTCTTGAAACAAAATTGCTTACAATTCAAGTTTTTGTAAATAATACCTTATACAAAACTGGAGTAATATATATCATTAAAATCTTAGCTTTCATAATAGCGATAATGTATCAGAAGTATACAAATCATCCTTACATAATAAAGAAACAAATTCTAAGCAATAGAAGCGATACAAAAAAACAATAACATAATACAAACATACTCAATACACTGTTAGTGATGCAAGTCAATTTTACATTATAAAAATATCGTATAAAAGTTCCAGTTAGATTAAACAGAGCAGTTGTCTATTTAGGCGTATCTACATTTATCTAGTGATCTATTTTCACGGGAAAAAGTGACATATATCATTTGATTATAGACTATATCGTTGAAATGTAGCCTTCAATTCGGTTCTCTTTTATATTAGGAGTTAGTCCTCCACGAACTTTGCAAATGCCCTAACTTTCAGTTTCCCAACATCTTTGTTTACTGGAATTACATCATTTGGCGCTGGTGTAGTATCATTGTTATTTGCAACATCTTTATTAGCCACCTGGGCACCCGACTCCGTCACTCCTGCGTCGGTCATTGTACTAGGAGGATTCACATTCTTTTCCCAAATAATTTCTATTCCATCATTCTCTTCGTCCAGCGGAAGGGCAGGACTTTCGGATTGGTCCTGATTGACACATAGAACTTGATCTTGTTCACCGGAATAAAGCTTCAATATGTGATCGTCATATTTCTCTCCACTGCTGAAAGTTTTATCGCAATTCGTACAATGTATAACATCGGAAACATCACACTGTGCTTTGTTTGCTTTGTTATGATCGTTACTTCTCCCATGTATTATCTTAAAGTGTGATTGAAACATCTTCAACGTCGGATATTGTAGATTACATATCAGGCAAGTATAATAAAACGACTTTTCCAGCCTGTCTAATACTGGATTTGCTTCATGCCTTTTCGCTTCGTAACATCTTCTCACGTTATGAACTCCTGTACCTGAGACCGATGTATTCAAAGCCGCATTGCTTTTATTATAAATATTTTGAGATTCTTTTGCGGAAGTACTACTGGTAGAAATGGATTCATCGATATCAACACTGTTAGTTACAAACTTACTTACATCGCTATTCGTATGCGTTAACAATTTATCTCTGCCGTGAATGTGAATAATATGTGAGTATACGGCAACGGAGCTTCGAAATTTCTCATTGCAATGGGGACACTCGTGCTTCAAGAAAGGGCTGTCAACGTTAGTGTGCTTATGTAAATGTTGCTCAAGCGTCGTCAACCATGGAAATCTACGTTCGCATACTGCACATTGATAATCTCCAGAATTTATGAATCGCGCCCTGTGCTTCATTAAATTCTTATTACTACTGAATGCTATGTTGCATTCAGGACACTTCATCGTTTCTACCTGGACATGATCGCTGGAAGACGGAGTGGAAATGTCAGATGTTCCGGACAACTGACTGGATGGACAGTATGATAAATTCTTCTGAGCATTAAGACCAGCTTTAGAAGGGTTAGATGCGTTAAAGAAATTAGTAAAACTGAACGTTTCAAATCGATGCAGGTGTGACACGTGCGAATGAACATTCGCAGGATCCGCGAATCCTTCGTTGCATATAGGGCATCGGTGCGGGGACAAACTGCTAAGTGTACAGTGTTTGATTTTGTGCACTCCCAAAAGATACAATTCGGTAAATTTCCTTTGACAGATGGTACAGCTATGTGGGCCAATATCCGAATGCTCCAACAAATGATCCTTTAAGCCGATCTTGTCGTCGAATTTCATACCACAAGTTATACACGTAAAGTTGGAATCGTCGATTAGCATGCTGAGTTCTTTAATCCTACTCAACTGACTTACTATGTTATTACTAATTTTAAGATTACTATTATCCGTGTGGAAGTGTTTCTCGTGACACACCATTGCCATAGTGGTTGTTATTACCTCGCCGCAAGTGCAACACTTGAAACTGTTGTTAATTTCGCTGCTGGTATGATTTAAACTGTAATGCTTGGCGAGGATGGAATTGGTAAGAAATCTTCGGTTGCATTCCTCGCATTGATATTCACCGCCCTCGGAATATTCTATTTCGTGTATCAATAGATCCTTCTCGTTTGTGAAATTTAAAGTGCACACATTGCACACATAATTCTTCGAACATATTTCTATGGGAATCTCGGTTGCTACGACACTGTTATTTGTTAACGCATAACTATGATCTTGCATGGTATTTAAAGCATTTTGTATAACTGGTGCATCATGTAAATGAACGTGTAATTTATGTGCATGAAAATTCGATTCATAATTGAAGCCTTCGTTACAAATGTTACACTTGTAAGCATACAACTTCCGTACGTCATCCGAATAATGCTCCATCTTATTGTGATGATGAAGACTGTACATTCCTTGGAACGATTTATTGCATATCGTGCATACAAAGACTTGCCCCTTATAGTAATACATGTTGTGTTCTATGAAGTGTCCGTAAGACTCGAATAGCAAATTGCATGTATTACACACTGGGCTAAGATTCCAAATGCACTCTGAGTTCAGCGTAGAGTTAGGCACCTGGCCGGCATGAAAATGTCGTTCATGAATCCGAAGATTTGCTTTTTTAACGAAGCCCTGATGACAAAACTTGCAGAAAAACCTGTAATTCTCTTCGCACGCCGGTGTATGGGTGGCAAGCATGTGAAGTTGTAACAATCTTTTGGTAGGAAATGCGGTACCACAAACATTGCACTGATTGCTGGCTGGTTTACAAAACGTACGTTCGTGTATGCATAAATTCTGAAATGTTTGGAACTGTTTTCCACAAATGGTACATGGAAACTTCGCTCTATCCATCATGTTAGACTGGTACCCTTTTACACATGCAACACCATTAAGAAGCTTTTTCTTACTCACAACTGTACGGGTTGGTAAACCGATGTCACTAGTAGTAGGCGTACTCGCGACTGGATTGACCACAAGTTCTTCCGTTTCTTCTAACATCATCTTTTCCAGTTCGGGTGACCGTACCGGGCTAGCTTTCAAGCTTTTTGATTCCTTTGAAGAGTTCGAAGGGGAACGTTTTATGCGAGCTATCTGCTGTTTATGCATTAAAGCTTTCATCCGACGACACACCTTCTCGTGTTGCTCCAAGCATGAATTTAGCCAAAATCGTTTATGACAGGCTTTGCACTTGTGTCGTTTCTTGAATGCATTACAGTTTACCTCAACGTCTACTGGTAGAAGGTCTTTCCTGGATCGTATGGTTTTCAAGCAATGTAAGGCCATGTGTTGCCTCAGTATAGCTGATGACTTAAATTTCTCATAACATACGCAACATTCCTTTCGTTTCAGTATAATATGTTGGCGGAAATAGTGACTTAATAACTTATTCATGGTCGTGTAACGCGCACTGCATATACTAGACATATAAATGGCATGAAACAGTTCCATGTGTTCATGCAGGTTCTCCCTCAAAGAAAATGATTTCTTACAAACGTGACACAGAAATGGTTTCTTTTCATTGACTTTCACGACACGTACGTCATCTTTAGGTACATCTGTGTTTTCTTGAGGTACCGATTCACTGGCAATGATCTTTTCTGTACTCTCTGATGGAACTGTCACATCTGTCAAGAAAAAATTTCTTACCATGTCCAATTTTTGAGAATCCTCAGAATTTTCATCTACCATTCGTAGGACCATTTCTTCAGAAGCTTCTTCCTCTTCATCTGATTTATAACTATATGATTTTAGATCTTTGTCACACCTATCCAAACGAATTATACACTCTTTATACTTAAGCTCAGATTTCAACTGTTTATCTAGTAATAATGCGTTTTCTTTTTGTTTAGCTGCATTGAGAGCTTTCTTTCTTTTATAAGATCGCCTTGCTTTTCTAGAAGCACGAAACGTGATTAAATTGTGGTAAGGAGAATAAGAATTTATCCTTCCTGGCCTAAGATTATAAGACGAATAGAATGAAGGAGTAGAGCTTTCAGGTTCAGTTTTTATCTCCTTGTTTAATAAAGATATCATTGTACTAGAATTCACATGAATCTGCACAAATGGCTTTTTGCTCTGGGACCCACTAGACTTAGAACGTTTAGAAGTAGACGCTTTAGATTGTTTTGAAGTCGTTGGTATCTCGTTACTAACTACTTCAGATATTGTATTTGAACTGGTAGAAATTTCAGAGTTTGTTGCATTATCGACTTTCTCTGCAGTAACGCAATCATCCTTCGGCTTTTCTTTATACAACGACATGTAATCTGTAAGAATGGTCTGCTTCATCTTTCTTGACGGCGTAGAATTACTTGAATTGTTTAAGTGTTCCGAAGGCGTGTTATTTACACTTCTCTCGGGGGGTGTATTATTTGCACTATTCATCTTTTTCGAATGATCATCCATTGAACTACTTGGACGGTTTGTGGCGGTGCTCTCTAGATTATGTAATTTTTCCATTAACACACGACTCATATCATTTATCTCTTGTGTCGTTTGAGGAAGCACTTCAACTTCGGCCGAATTCATTAAATCTTTATTTTCGTGTATGTGTAATATATGAGATTGCATACGTAACTTATCGTAGAAATGTCGATTACAAAAGCTACAATAAAATCCTGGTAACTGAACACCTCTTGAACAAACACGTAAATTCACATGACGATCTAATATTTTTTGCCCACCGAAAATTGCATTACAATCAGGACACTTGAACTTTCCTCTGAAGGATCTTTTATGTGATTTCAAAACACGTCTATTACGACAGATTACAAAACAAATATCGCAATAGTTTTTTACCGGCTTTCGAGGTTGTTTAATATTAAGTATTTCTTTACAAAGATCAAATATGCTATTTCCTGAATCAGCTGACTCTTGTGGTAACACAGATATACTGTCTTCCGCATCTGAAGAGTTATTCTCAACTTTTATTATGTTATTCTGAACGTTCGTATTTACATCAACCGATGGAGAATCAGCATGGCTATTAATCTCTGAATCAGTTGGCTCTTCTTTTATTTTTGTTCCATATTGGGGAGGCTGAAAAAATATACAAACCTAATATAACATTTTAAGAAATAAAAAATATGTAAAACAGTTCTAGTATATCGTAAACCTAGTATTGCGACTGTTACAAATAACATAAATGAATCATGCTTTATGAACCCCAAAATTAACATTAGAGACATAGTAATATACGAAGACAACATTTACTAGTCATCGTAATTTAGAAATAACCGAATAAGGGAACACGGTATAAGAATGGACAAAGAAAGTTAATTATAAATAAATAGAGAACAGAATACATTGCAGTGACACATTCTATCTTCACAAATGTCAAACAAAATATCCAAATTTCGTTCAGTATGACGCATAATCGGTTCGAAGCATCCCTGTATAGTACGTGTGAACTGGTTACAGTTGTAAAATTTGATAGTAGGTAAAGTTTACGAGTTTAATGATTAAAATGTGCAATTTATGACATTTGGGGGACATAAGGTTGTACTTAGGGTGCATACAAGGCAGTGGAATGTCAAGTCCAAGTCGTTTCTTCCTATTTCAAGAATACATGTATACATTATCATATTAATACAGTAATTGTTATTTAATAAAATATTATGAAGATTTAATACCGATTAGTTTTAATTACAAAATCTAAACAAAATTGAAAATGCTCCCAGATACATATATACGGCCCTGGGTACAATTACATGAATAAGTGTTATCAATTAATGTTTTAATAATTAACGACCTGGTTCTACTTACTATAGATGTACAGTGGCCATATTTCTGAATAACAAAATCAAATTTAAGAACTCTGTAGATTAGATAATGAGATCTAATCGATTTTAAATAATAAAATCAATAATAATCGGAAGTAGATGGTCTCATTCGGCCTAAGAGTCCTACTAAACAGCTGCAAAGCTTTAGAGGGCCCTAGATAATTATCACGATCGATATTTTGAGGTTAGTGTTTAAGTCGACTGTAACGCCATCTGCGAGGAAAGTTAGAAAACACAAATTTTTAGGATCGCACTTTAACATTACTCCATATACATGTATTCCGAATTAGTATCTAATAAGAAATCATTTTTTATATTTTCAATAAATTATATATCATAAATGAAAAATAATACTAATGAAAAAACAATAAATATGATATAAAATGTTAAGAATACATATCTATGGCAATGTCGATCGATTTAAAAAAATCTCTCTTAATTATTTAAAATAAATATTCATATTTAATTCATTAATGAACATTTAAAAAATATTCAATGCTAGAATAGTATGGTTTGCAGTAAGATAAGCGGTTAAAGATAGCATCTGGTGGGATAGAAGGGGGAGCATGGCCGCTAACGGACCGCTTCTAGAGTCACTGTCCCGGCGTTCCATGAACACGCATACGTGCAAAATTCCCTTCCCTCACCACATTGACAATAGATATAGGAACATATACGGATTCAAACGTGTCCTTACACCTCATTACATTATATGCAAAAATATTTAGTATAAGAACGCACAGAAACATTTCTTTTGATAATGATTAAATAAACTTAATAAATTGTATTGACACATTAAAAGTTATGCACAATTATTTGTTTATTTCATGCACTTTTTCACTGATACAATTCAGGAACTACATAATTTACAAATTTGAATAATTCATGTTATAAGCTACACCAATAATTTACTAAACAAATAGTAATTAAATGTTAATTCTGCATTTTAAAGTTCTGAAAAAATAAACAATTAAAAACATTAGCAGAACTAGCAAAAGTAATGAGTATATCGCTATGTAATTATGTACCAAGTATATCACTATGTTCGTTATGTTTGTAAAATTGGACACTATGAAGGGAATACAAAGAAATACAAATGAAGTTTCTTATTAAAGTTATTAAGTAGCCTTGTACAGCAATTACTCCATAAAGAATCAATTACGTGTACCCATGATGATATCTACCGACAATAAAAGTTATACGGATGCCAGATTTACTACGTTACCTTGACGTTATCAATTCATTTCATAGTACATAGCAAATTATACATGTATATTATAAAAATATAATATAATATAAGCACAACAAATCATAGTATATTCAAAAAATTATCCTCTTATAATTATCAAATATATCGATATAAGAATTTTTAAGAAATATAGTATTTATAAATGCTAATTTTAAATTTCATGTTGGGAATTTGCAGTTTAACTCAGCAATTCACCTTCATTTATACTATAATACTAAAATCAATATTCGATTACATAGCTTCTACCACAGCAATAAGTAAGCGTCTCATATTTTATAATACTAGAGTAACAAAAGTAAATCGCATACGAATAGTAGTCTAATACATTGTATTATTTAGAATTTACAAGAATCAAATATATTATTCACTGTATTCAAAGCTCTTTTGATGAAAAGATTGTTTAAGAATTACTTACATTCATTTGGTGACCCATCACCACACCCATAAACACTGCATCGACAGGACGTTCGTAGACAATGGCTCGAGCCATTTGCTTTATGAAATTATTTTTATGCACAGAACAAATTGTTTACAAGTGTTCAAAGAAAATATATGATTATTGAAAATAGATTTGAGCAATGCTTTCAAAAAGCTATACTCCTTCCTTATAATTTTCAAGTATTGTATAATAACAATAATAATGGTAATAATAAATCTTATTTATGTACAGAAATTGCAACTTAAAATCTCAGTTCTGAATCATTTAATGAGCCAAAAGGACGTAAATCGATAAGAAACGGAAAGCCATGCAAGAAGTTTTAGGTTATCGTATTATGCATAAGCCTAAGAACTGTTTAATTATCCTTGTTATTCACTTGTTTTTAGTAGATACTTCACTTATTGCTTATTCGCAGTAACGTAAGATGAACAATTCTACTTTGAACACATGTAAACACTAAAAAATATGACGCTACTACCCAATTTTAAAGACGTCGTCACACATACTACGAAAATCAAAATGGCGTCCACCTTTATTAACGAGAATCACCGACTTTCAGCTCAGTTCAGACCATTCCTGTTGAACTCATTGCGGCCCGACAAACTAGTGACCTTGAAAATCAAATCAGTATATTCACAGCGGGAAATTTAAGTATTTCACTTTTATACTAATTTGCATTACAAATAAAACATTTCATATACTTCATATTATATTTATATAACTAGGAATATATTGAACTAATGTTTTTACAATACAAAAAAAATTTTCGCTATTTTCCAATAACTTAATTTTATTAATTAATGTTATCTAACGTTATTCAAAATGCACATTAATATACATAATGTACAAATCAATTTTATTAAAAAATTTACTATACAATTTTTAAACAGGCCACACTGAACTGACTATAACATATGACTATACAATATTAAATCGTGCATAATAATTAATTACGAAGGTTTTTATGTTGAGAATATGCTAGACATCGATGGTTTAATGTTAATTTTACTTAATTTTACTTAATTAATTAATTATAATTATTACAAACTTTATAAATGTGTAAGCTGTAGTGAATGACGATAATTTGTATAAATATCAAAATAATAAAATTTCGATCGTAATATCACGCTAGTTCGTGAATAACATTTAAATTTTAGAACAATAATTTATGAAATAAACGAGTAAAGAAGAAATGAGCATGCGTGTTACTAAGCAGTTTATCTAACCAACTTCAGATCATATGAAACGCAATTTCATTTTTTATTTATCTATACTATATATACATATAGTTATTCATATCTATATGCAACTACGTATGTATTTGTGCATCTATGTAGCAACTAGTAACGCAACGTGAATGACGTGATCCAATGAATATTCGTTTATTTTTGTGTTATCCGAAAGACGAAATGCTATTGGCTCCTTTAGTGACTACTTGCATACTATTGGTTGTTATAAAGCACCTGCTTTGTATTCTCGACCATACGAGACTATATACATATTTACGCAATAGGTTAGAATGCGGTTAAAGAAACAACGATTACACGAACCCGGATGGACTTCTACTTTTAGTAGACGGTAAATTACCGACTGAGAAGTGATATTACCAACTATATAGTTCAACCTTGTATACAATCAGACACGAGCTTGCGATGTAATGATTAACACGAAGATAACGAATCTTATTATTCTAATATAAAGTTCTGTGACAATAAAATAAACTTCATTACTTATTGCACGCTACAAAGCATTTTCAACGTCTTATTTTGTGTAAATCTATAATAATATGATTCTAATAATATTAACTCTGGTGATAACTCGCTGTAAAAAATTAGATGTTCTATTTTCGTCAGATAACTTAAACATTAATAGAAAAATAAATTCTTGTACTCTTTTGTAATTTATTTTTGAGGAAAAATAATTTAACTCAATTTCATAGTATAACGTGTGAATGGATTTTTATTACTGTGAAAATCATTTGCAATGAAACTATTAGAAATGTCCAACAGCAGTTTTGAAGAAAACAAATTGTATGCATTTTAAAATATCATTAAAATATTCATGAAAATCATATGTTCTTTAATGGAAGAAAAGGAGAAAGTGTTGAAAGACGTTTGAGACGTGATAATTACGTTAAAAGTTAGTTCGCATGTTTATGAAATACTTACAATATGTTAATTTATTTATATTACTGTCAATATGTTAAATTCAATTCCATTCTATGCAAATTCTAAGTTACCAATATAGAAGCAATAGGTAGGTACTGTAGTAGGTACTATGTTATTTCTAACCATTTCCAACTTTTTCCAAAGTTTTATGATTTTCCACGAAATCGATATCAAAAGTAATGATTGTTCACAAAAGCACTTATTTTTTAATTGAAAACATACTGACAGGACCGGATATTTATGATAAAATGCAATGAAACAGTTATATTACATGTTAGGTATGATTAATTTCCAATTATGAATTTTTTCATACAATGACATATTGTAAACACCTTGCCGACAAGTCTTCAGGTGCCGTCATCATGACTCTATCTCCTAGAATAACTGGTTTCAAAGAAAATGACCACTTCACAGTTTCGTTGTCAGCTGACTACAAACTCGCTGCACTTTCCTTGACGATTTAATATGTAGAAAGCAAATATAATTAATGTTTAATTTTACTTTTACATTAATTACATCATAAAACGATTAAACCGTTACAACTAAAATATTTAATTTGCTCCTGATACTGAAAATTCCATTAAGAGAAAACAATGCAGATTGAATTATATGCAGAAAGTCCGAGGTATTAATAAAGCTTCTTTAATTGCAATACCTTTTTCGATCGATTAAACGAAGGAATAATTGGACGGCTTGATGATAAGAACGTAGGTGTAGTGAAAGGCTAGTAGTGAATCCTTCTATTGAAAGGAAGAAGGTAAGAGATGGAATAGCGACTGCGTTCTCAGGTGCATCCACTCTGCCGTTGAGCGACGTGGAAACTTCCGGGAGCTGTCCAAGTTTTCTAAGTAATTAAAACCACTTAACACGATTTCTCCTAACTTTCTGATATCACAGCGAGAAATCAGTTTTAAATTGTTCCCCAAGGAAAGGGCCGCAATTGCAGCGCAATTATGATTCCTGACAACTTTTAATTATATCATTGGAATATTCTTTGTCAGTTGTATTATGCTATGCATTTGTTATAAGCCAATTTCTCACGTTCGCAAATCTTTTTATTCCGTCCACAATGGATTCCTTTTTCTATGTATTTAGCACATGCTTTTGTTTGCGGGATTATCCATAAATAGGTACCGAAACCTTTATGTCAATTCTTGAGATGTCACCATTTATTTCTTCTTTTATTATTTTTCGATAACTTTCTATTATTTTTATACAAATAGAGAGGATAAAAAAAATCTTGGAACATTTCATAAAAGGGAAAACAAATTGTAATCTTCGCTTTTATTTGTTTGTCCTGATATTGTACACTTAAATTTCGATACTACACCAATCTCTAGAGACAACTCTCGGATTTGATTTAATCCTCAGGGTACTTACTTACTGTAAATCCTATTATCTCAAATCTCAGGGCACAATGTTAGCTAGTACTAGATGACTACTTGAATTGAATGTTGGAAGTATGACATAGATAAGACGTTTATATGCAAGTATAAACATGAAATTATCAGAAAGCTAACTTGTGTACACTTTGATGTAATAGTAATAAGAATTATGCTACATTTTATATATAAATGTGTGTATGTATATATATTACATGTTAATGTCATTAAAGGTGGACTACTAGAAAAGTCATTCTTTATCATACTAATACCTACAACTTATGATACAGCAATAACCCTTTAGACGCTAGACTAACATAAAGAACAAACGAAAGAGATAAGGAAAAAGGAAATAATATGGATGGATTTAGATAGAGTGGTTATGTCATTGTATTAAGATGGATTTGCACCTTATGAGTCTAAGCTAAGACCTGCTTTTAATATAACCTACACAAATTCCAATCTCATATAAAGAAATTGATGTTTGTACCTGTAGCTTTTCTCTCAGAACAATAATATTCCATTGATAACAGTGTGTTAAATATTCACTCGCGATGAATAAAACGAAAAGAATTACTATCTAATTTGAAACGCTCAAATGTAAAAGTTTATGTTCCTGTTGATTATGTAGTATGCGGTGGAAATCAATCATAAAATAAATAACAGAGTTCGCCAAATACTACTCCATTTTGACAATCCATATCACCATGAATTATTTACAAATATCCAATTTAAATCTAACATCTAAGAATCTAACAAATATATGATTCATTGATTATATTACAATTTTTACATAAGAGCAACTTGTAATCGCAATGAACATAATTGTATAAAACCTATTTGCTTTTCTTAATTGATTTCGCCATAAGCAGCAGGATATATTGGAATAAAAGTACATAACTATAGGGTACAGCAATTGTAACCTCTCAAAATCATATCTAATCTGTATTTGTATATTAAATTTAGTCCTTAATTTGAAGAAAAAAACATTTGATACTCGTATCGATACATAGATTATTAAAATTAAGGCAGTAAGAATAAATACCAAAGTATAACATTGCTGTAGTTTTTAATAGCTAAAAGTGTAAAACTTTTAATAGGTAAAAGTATTCCTATAGTCATACCAAAGTACTTAACAAGTCAAACATACTTTATTCCAATTACAGGTCTTTTATAAAGAAGTGTTTATTTATTTAGAAATCACGTGAGAAGGACAAGATAACGATGGATCTAGTTTTTTCAAAACTACTTTACCCAATCTATCAATTTATGTTCCACGATAGATATTTAATGATCTGTATCAGTAAAACTACAATACTCACTATAATATAAATGCGTCCCTAGTTAGAGTAAGATGTATTTAAGCCATACATATATAATAAGCCACATTTACACAAGTGCGAATACTATCTTTAAAATCTAAATTGCACATTATGATCATGCCTCATGTTTTAGTACAATGAGTACACGATACCATATTTGATAAAAGTAATGAAAAAAGTTTTCTTATATTATTACACAGTCCATATCAAAATTTCATAATCTTAATATATGATACACAGTACATTAAAATAATATACATAGGTAGTTTAAAAGTAGATTTATACTAAAGATAGGATTAATATGAGCCAATTAGATTGCAATATAGAAAAATACTAGCT